GGTTCTGTCCCCAGGACCCTGAGCACATTTACAACGCGGCGATGGTGGAGGCCCCGCAGGAGGGCCCCGCGCACAGAGACGAAGGTGCGGTCCGAGCCGAGCCGGAATCATGCCTCTGTGTCGCCTGGGGCTCAGGGGACACAGACCTCTCCCTTCCTCACCCTAGTTCTGGCTCCCGATGAGAAAGAGGAAGGAAAAGAATCCGACACGTACTCGGAATTCACAGACGTCAAAGGTGCGAGCCACCCACTCCCTCAGCTCTGCGCGCCTCCACGTGGGCTGCGCGACCAAACAAAATCAAAGGAGCGGAAGTGTTTTGGGAATGTGAAGGCGCAGGGAAAGGGCAGGAGGGGCGGTGCCTGCCCTGGGGGAGGCCTGGGGAATCGGGAGGGTCCCCTGGACCAGGGCCCCCCTCCCCCAGGGGAGCCCAGGACTGGTGTTTGTCCCCACAGCCCCTCTGCACCAGCTCGTCCAGACCCAGCCCCCCCGGGAAGGAGCCGTGACTTGGAGGACGTATCACACGTACATTAAGGCGGCTGGAGGTTTGGCATCAAACGGGTTTCCTGATGTACTCTGCATTTAAAAGTGCTCCTTCTTAGACGCCTGGGTTCACATGTTTACGATTTCTTTAATGATTCGTCTCGTTAGGCGAAGGCTGTTTATCAGTGTCCCCCCACCCCAATCCCCCAAGAATATCAAATCGGACAATATGGCCTTTCCCACGGCATCACCCTTTATGGCCGTTCAGGCTGCTGGGCTCTGTCTGTGGGAAGGAAATGGGGGGCGGCGGTGTAACCCAGCGGTGCGCCTCCGTGGCCACCTCTCTGTCGCTGAGCGCTCCCCCCATCAGCTCGGGGCACAAAGCACTTAGACAGTCACCCCCCTTCGCTCCCAGCAAGACGGGGCATTCCCTGTTTGTCCCTAAAGAATTCGGAGTCACTTCTATCTCAGTGCATATTGGTGTTTTTTCCAAAAGTTGACAACTTGGACCTACTTTCCAACCAGGCGGTCAGGTGCCCCCACGTGGGTTCAGGGGCACAATCCCCAGACCCGTCCGCCAGCCTGAGGGTGGTTCCCAGGGCGGGGCCTTTCCCGGCAGGTTCATCTCCTCCCTGCAGGCTACCTCCTCTCCCTCTTCACCGTGACG